CACAAATATCGGTATGAATCATATCCAATATTTGAGTATTACGTTCGGCTTTAGGAAAATGTTTCTTAGTCATTTTTGCTTGTATACAAATTTCACACTTATCATTTTTAATATCTTTGCAATTAATCAAACCATGTTTAGACATGTATTTCAAAGATATAAAATTTAAGTGTGCTAAACGTGCATGCCAAACATCAAAAGAATCAACAATATAAAGAGAATTCACATCATCTTTATTATTAACGCTTAGTTTGTACATGCCATCACAAGAATACCCCTTTCCCACAAAGATCCCATTCTTAGATACTATACAATTATTGCCCTCAAGTACAATCTTAAGTCCATTCTTACACATAAGACTAGCGGATACAAGATTTTTCCTAATATCAGGAACATGAAGTACATTGTTCAATGTAAGCTTCTTTCCGGAAGTAAAGTTAATCTCCACCACTCCTCTCCTGACAACCATCGCTGCATCATTATTCCCCATGAGAACAGTTTGTCCTTCCTTTTCCACTTTGTAAGATAAGAACATAGTCTTGTCATTACAAACGTGGATTGTGGCACCGGAATCAAGCCACCAATCGGAGGATTTAAATGCAGCCATGTTAGTTTCGGTAATCATGCCAATTTACAATTCCGAGACAATAGCACATATGTCTTCGGATTTCTCTTCAACGGCATTGGCATTGTTGGTGTTCACTTCTTCCTTTTTCTTCTTGTATCTGCAGTCATTTTGGCGATGGCCTTTCTTTTCACAAAAGAAACAATTTTCAGAAAATTTCTTTTGGCCATTACCTCCTTCTTGAACTTCTTCTCATTATTGACTTTGAAGTTCTTTGAAAACTTACTAGCTTCGGCAACATTAACTTTAGAGGAATCAACATTTTTATTCTTGGAATCACGAGACTTAGTCTCTTCTTCTATTCTCAAGTGTTTTTGTAATTCCTCCAAAGTTATGTCATCTCTCCTATGAAGGAGTTTCTTTCTATAACCATTCCAACTTTGAGGAAATTTAGCAATAATTGCCCCCACTTAGAATGATTCAGAAATCTCAACCTTCAATTCATGAAGCTTAGTAATAATAACTTGCAATTCATGTATTTGATCTAGAACGGACGTGGTGTCAACCATGACATATTCTAGAAATTTCAAGATAAGAAATTTGTCCGTACCTTCCTTCTCAGTTTTGTATTTGTATTCGAGAGCGTTCCAAATCTTCACCGGAGACTCCATCGAGTTGTAAAGATCGTAGAGCCTATCGGAGAGAGTGTTGAGAATATGACCCCGGCACATGATTTCATCATCTCCTCGCTTCTTCCTTGGGGTCTTCAATTCTTCAGAATCATCCTCTTTTGGTTCAGGAAGTGGCTCTAATTTCGGATCAAGTACATAGGCGATCTTAAGCACAGTGAGAAGAAAGAACAACTTTCCTTTCCAGCGAGTGAAGTTGGTACCATCAAAACGATCAAGTTGAACATTAGGATTGAGGAAAGACGTCATGTTCTTTTCAACCTCCATTGCAGCAAGTTTAAAACCTTAAAGATTGTTGGAAAAAATTCGGATTTGGGAGGATGAAAAGAACAGAGAATTCAGAAAGAAGGGTTTGAGGCATATAGGAATACTTTCCTTTAAGGTTTTATTTGCCCTCACTTCTCAAAGTTTGCTAATGAGTTCTAAAAGGCAAATTACCCCCAAGATACAACAAACCCTTGAACACAATATCCAGCAAAAATATTGAGTTCCAGAACAATTGTAATCTGTATTTTCTGAAGTCCATCATATAAAGACAGGGATGCATCCATCCTTTTTAAGTGTTACAACCTTTCACATAAAGATACCTTTTCAATTTGATGGTTATATTTCATATGCTGATGCACTTATAACAATACTTATTTCTATTGTTAATAAGTGCTCAGATATGTGAGAAAACATATCACAAATAGATGCAATGGTTCGAGACCTTTTCAGATCACTAAAACACACGAACACATTTTCCGTCGATGATTTACGCTGCAGCGCCCAAGAGGCGTGCTGTAGCGCGCGGGCTTAGCAAAAATAGGCTGCAGCGCCCAAACGCGCGCTGCAGCGCACGCTGCTATGCGCTGCAGCGCGCGAGCCTAGCAAAACAAACCTGAGAGGTCTGTTTTGCGCAGGCTGCAGCGTCCAAACGCGCTGCAGTGCGTCCGTGCGCTGCAGCGCGCACTCCTTCGCGCTGCAGCGCGTGCTTACGTCAGTCCACTCTTCCCGAATGTGTTTTAATCTAATTTTGTGATATCAAGATTAAGAGATATATTACAATCTCTCTAACAATTATAACTTCTTTATTATGTTTAAAATGCAAGAAGAAAGTGTTGCCTTTCAAGATTTATAACACAAAAAAAGTAAATTTACCCATTAAAGGACGAAGGCAAGAACATAGAAAGACTTAAGTAGAACCGTAGAAAGCATAAATACAATATAATATCGAACCTATCTCAAGCATCAACGCGAGTAATAAGCCATACTACCTCTACGATAACGCGTTACATCAAAGTGCTTCTGCAAATGTCTATACCAAAATTTCCTACTTTTCGTACGGACAATGAACCATCTACAATTTCTTACACTCGGGATTATTTTCGTAGGTTGTAATCATGCATTATATTAGCCATCACTAATCATTGTTATTCTTCACTCCTTTATTTCCCAACTCTTAATATAGTCTACTGTATCACATTAAAATATAACTATACGATTGAGCATTGTCTTCAATTTAGAACTGACAATATGGGTTATCACACAAACATGACATAATAATTTATGGATTAGTGTCGAAAAAATAAGTTCCGAGTCATTTTAGAGGACATTTGGTTGATAGATTCATAATTATTATTTAGAACCATTCTCGATTTATGTGTATTTTTTATGAGAGAAAACACTGTAACGAGCCACGAACTATGATTCGAACCATGACATGAATCCTTGAACCAAACGCACTCATATTTTCGTAATTAGCCTGTTAAAAAACGTGTCAATCACTATTGTTGTAGGATGTAATCATGCATTATTTGACTTGCTCAATTATTTTATTATTTAAAATTATTTTTCCCTCGTTTTTGGTTGGATGTATTTTAATTTTTTAGGACTTAATTAGTTGTTAAAGTATGAAATTAATTTATTCTTAGAACATATGTTTAGTTCAACATGATTTTATTGCATATATTGTAAATTTTAAGTAGAAAATCATGAGTCATTGATGGGTTATGGGCTAAATTTAAATTGAGTGTATTGCGGTCGATTGTGGGTATTACGTCACAAAAAGTAACGAGTTCATGGAATCGTATTTGTATCAATATGTGTTAAGGCGGGTCATGTTAGGGTTGGGATTCCTCAACCCATTTGTCGAATTCCTCAACCCATTTGTCGAATTCCTCAACCCATTTGTGTCGTGGATCGTGAAAAGATTGGGATAATTTTTGCTAATATTAACTCTCAACCCGATACTAACACAAACAGTTGACATAAATTATCACCTCTAATCTTCATGATACTTCCTTTAATTTCATTTTTAACTCAATTATAATATACTTTTATATCACAATCATTTGTATCACACACACCGTTCCATTTGATTAGAAAACTGACTTTTTTAGTTTACATTTGTAAATGTAAATTGTTAACATGTCGTTCAACCTAGAATAATATACTTCTATTGTCTATTATTTTTTTCAATATTAAGTATAATTACCTCTTAACCGTTAATCAATTAAACTAAGTACTATGCTTAATGGAACATAACCTTTTAGGACATGTTTGGTTTATACGTTTAAATCAGTGATTTTTGATTTTGGTATTTAAAATTCAATTTTTTTAAGAGAAAAATATTGTAATAAAATCAAAACTATGAGTTAAAACACAACAAACAAATGAGCCATTTGAATTGTTTAGTGCATATACTCAAAACTTAAATCATAATTATACTATAGTATTTTCTTATTATAAAAAATTTAAATCAAAAAAAATTTCGTTAATAATTTTCTCAAAAACAATTTAAATCAAAACTTAAACCATAATTTAAATAAGGGTACCTTATTTGAGCATTGGAAATGTATCCAATCGATCAATCCTATTTTTCATTTAAATTAGAAGATTTTTCATTTAAATTAGAAGATTGACCGGTAACAATTGTCAATTTAAAGGGATGTTTGGTAGATGAATTCGTTCCTTAATTTAAATCATGATTCATTGTTCGCTACAGTATTTTTTCTCATAAAAAATTCACGTAAATTAAAAATAATTTAAATTACATGATTTAAATCCTCCAACCAAACATTCTCTAAGTTGTTTCCATTGTAACTCGTGCCAACCAACACTCTTTAACTCAAAAGAGTGGAAGCTTCCCAAACAACCAGCAAGGCAAGTGCCAATCCAAAAAATTTAAATTTGAAATGTTAAAATTTAGAAATTAAACAATGGACCCTATATAATCATCGAATTAAACCCAGGAACCGAATGAACCCTATATAAAGAAGATCAACAGGTCAAGAAACTCTCACTGGTCAATAGTAACGTACTCAATGGCCTCCCCAACGTCTGACGACGACGAAATCACCCACAAGTTTCGCTTCTTCCAAGTCCACAGAGACGGAAAAGTAGTCCTATTCCGACGATCCGCCGACAAAATCCCCCCCTTTGACGACCCCGTCACCGGAGTCAAATCCAAAGACGTCGTCGTTTCAGCGGACCCGCCGGTCTCTGCCCGAATCTTCCTCCCCAAATCGGCCGAGCCTGCCGGAAAGCTGCCCGTTCTGTTGTACATCCACGGCGGCGGTTTCTGCATGCAGTCGCCGTTTACTCAAAAGTACCACAGCTTCGTCAGCGACGTCGTCGCCGGAGCTGACGTCATCGCCGTCTCCGTCGACTACGGGCTCTTCCCCGATCGGCCCATTCCGGCCTGCTACGACGACTCTTGGGCCGCGCTACAGTGGGTCGCAGTCCATGAAGGCGGAAATGGGCCGGAGGAGTGGCTGAATAACCACGCGGATCTAAACCGGGTTTTCGTAGCCGGGGACAGCGCCGGAGGGAACATAACCCATAACCTACTGTCTCGGGTCGGATCAATTGGATTACCCGGCTCCAAGATTGTTGGGGCGATTTTGGTTCACCCGTTTTTTGGGGGCACGGTGGATGACCACATGTGGATGTACATGAATCCGGAAAATAAGGGGTTGGAGGATCCTAGGATGAGACCGGCCGCAGAGGATCTGGCTAGGATTGGGTGTGGTGAGGTGTTGGTTTTCGTTGCTGAGAAGGATGAGTTGGTGGGCCCGGGGAAGCGTTACGTGGAGGAGTTGAGGAAGAGTGGGTGGAGTGGGAGTGTGGAGATGGTGGAGAACATAGGGGAAGGTCACTGCTTTCATTTGTTCAATCCTGATGCTTTGTATGAGAAGACTGTGGATTTGGTCAATAAGTTTGTTTCTTTTCTTAAAGAGGAGTAGTAGATTTGTGATCCATAATTTGTTTTGAGATGTTGAAATATCTGAAATGAGTGACTATAGTATTGGCAAGAAATTTGATTTGAGATGTTATTATGACTCATTAAACCGTTCACTTCGCTGATTCGAGTTTGTAATTCGAGTTAAGATGTGATTTTGTGTGAGAGCTTTTTATTGTAGCAAAAAAAATTAGATGTGACTGTTTCTGAGAGCTTTTTACTGTAGCAAAATTCGAATTCTAAACTCGAATCTGCGAAATGAACGGCCTTTATATTTGACAATTGCAACTAAGAAAGATACAAGAGTGGATATTGAAATTGCTAACTCAAATAAGTGGCGTGAAAAATGAAATGAGCTGGTAAAGGGAATTGATTTGAACCACCCACCCGAGTGGTTGTGTTCCTCAGTTTTACACCGGAAAAGAAACAACATTATTTATGGTCCCATATCAGCTTTTCTTTCTATGAGTGTGACAAACATTTCATTAGCTAGGTTTCTTCCTTAATACCTTACTTGCATGCACAAATATTTTCCAAAGCTTGGGGCTTGGCCCATTTTCGACCATGACGAGTCATCAAAAGTCAGTATATGTTTCTACTTTACATCCAAATATGAAAATGTCAAGTTCAGGGGTTGTTGAGATTTTTGTTTTACAGATAATCTGGACGAAAATATCAATGTATGGATATTCTGAAAAAAATATATATATATTTTAAAAAAAAATCTTAAAAATTTTTTATTTTAACTATACAAAATGCTAAAATAATCAATATTACTTAGTTTGAATTAATTTAATAAAAAAAAATACACTTTTAATCAAACTATTTAGAGTTATGTCGCATAATATAGTAGAAAATTATCATAATTATATATAGATTATATTCTAATATAATTTTACATATTCATCACAAATAATATACAGTAACATAATAAAAAGATAAAAATTAACTACAAAATATAATAGAATACATACAAATTTCAAGTATTTTTAATGCTAAAATGAGTTCTAGTAGGTTAGAAAGCATTAGGTAGGTTCCAATATTTATTTAAACAATACATTTACTAAGATATTACCCATTAATGGATTTGGAGGCAGTTGTTGATGCTATATGCTATATGTTTCTTGATCTCATCCATAAATTGGAGATTGTTGATTTATCTAAGTTGATAAGTAGTCCCGTAAATGTGTAATGTCATGTCGAGACTTCAAAATATGGATAATATCATGAAAATGTCGACAATACCATGGACACTTTCATCCATGCGTAGATTAAAGCTTTTTTTTTTTTTGGGTGCAAATTGCAATCACAAAATGAACCTTTTTTTTTTTTTAAATGCAATGAAGGAATTAACTTCTTTTCGTTAAGTAAGTGCTTAATCCAACAAAAAAACACAGTGCTTAATCCAACAAAAAAAAAAAAACAGTTCTTTCATCTTATAATTTCTCACAAAAAGCAAAAAATTCATTTAACTAACAAAACTGAAAATCCCTCCATTGTCATTTATCTCAAATATTGTTTATCCAACACATTAGCGGGTATCTAAAACAAACACACAACTCTTTATTCAACACTTATTATTAGTGGATCAAATTCCCTCCACAAATTTGTGACACATCTACCAGGATAACAATTGCTTAATTTTCTCTCTTTAAGTTTTCTGATACAACAACAATATTAATTCAAATATTTCTGAAGTCGTCTACTTCTGTTTCAAAAAAGAAACCAACTTCTTCATCAAAGCCAAAGCCTTTTCACTAGTTGGATCAGCAAGATGGAAAACATGCCCTTCTCCTTCAGTCTCCACTATTTCCACTTCCCCATTCCATTCACTTTCCTTCAAAGCCTCGTAATAAGCCCAACCCCTTTTCCTAAACATATCCTTCTCAGCCACAAAAATCAACACCTTCCCACATCCTAGCCTCCCCACCTCCGGATCCTTACTCGGGTTCAACTTCGGGTCACCCGACTTGATTCGGGTCGGGAAAATAATCTCCATCAGCTTATCCGGCACGGCACCGTTGTCGAAAAACGGGTGGACAGTAGTCAGCCCAACAATTCTAAGCCCACGAAGCCCATCCACGCCGGCTCGTCTCACCGTGTAGTGGGCTATGGTCCCCCCCGCGCTGACCCCGGCCACGAAGACTCGACTGAAATCTGCGTGATCGTTGAGCCAGGCCTCAGGCCCATCCCCGTCACAATGGGCCGCGGCCCAACAGAGAGCTTCCCACGCGTCGTCGTATGCCGTCGGGAGGAGGTGCTCCGGCGCCCTCCGGTAGTGCACGGACAAAGCGACGACGTTTGAGTCCGCGGCGATGGCTTTCAGGTGGCGATGGTAGCGGGGAGAGAACGGCGACTGAAGGCAAAACGCGCCGCCGTGGAAGAAGACGAGAAGAGCGAGTTTTCGGGTCGGTTCGGGTATTTGAGGGAGGAAAATTCGGGCGGAGAGTCCCGTGTCGGGCGAAACGACAACGTCTTTGGATCGGACGCCAGCTTCGGCGTGGGGCGAAGGCGGGACGATTTCCTCTCCGCTTAGGCGATCTATTCGGCCGTCTGCGTAGATTCGGAGGTTTTGGGGCTCAAAGAACACGACCCGATCCTTACTCGGCTCCATTGTTGGACGTTGAAGAAAATGATGGGTTATTTCTTTAATGGACTGATCGATTGTTTTTCGAGTAGCCTCCTCTAGATGCCTGGTCGTGACAATGGAAAACCGACCTTGAATTTGGAGGTGTCGAAATGATGGAAGGGATATATGAGATGGTTGACCCATAGGGAGTCGGTGATGCTCACGGTGTACAATCTAGTCGGCTGGCGGGATTCCTGGAAAAAAGAAATAAAAAATACAATTAGAAAAATTAAAAAGAAAAAAACGGCGAATTGCATGTGATTTTGAATGAAAAGGTACATGCAAAGTAAACTTGTTTATTATTTTCCTTCTTACCCTCTTTTTTCTCCACCTTTTACATTGACATCCTTTCTCTCTGTAAAACTAATTAATGAAAGAAAATAGGACGGTAAAGAAATATAAAAATGACGGAAAGTAAATTGATTTTTTTTTATGTTATTTGGTATAAAAAGATATAATAAAAATGAGTTTATTTTTATTTGTTTGGTATTAGAAGTTAAATTAAGAGAAAAAAAAAATTTTACTCGTAAATTATTTTTATATCCATAAAAAATATTTGTGAAAAAAATGTGAATGGGTAAAATTGTACTTCATAATAAAGCAACATGAATAATATATTTTCCCCTTTAAAATCCAGTTATATTTGGAAGGGGAAAAAAGAGTTGGGCCCATGGCCTAAAAATCCTTCCTATTTTCCTTTTTACTTCCCTTTTCACTCTATTAAACAACCACTATAAGAGTTTTCCATTTCCTTTTCTCTCTATTATTTTCTTTCCTCCCAATAATCCATCATGCCAAACACACTGTAAATGAATCTTTACATTAAAAACAACTATTTTATACCATCAATAAGAATTATTGTTTTAGGTCATGTTCAATTCTCTGATTCGAGTTTTTAATTAAGTTGAGATGTGACTTTTTTTGAAAGCTTTTTACTGTAGCAGAAAATGTTATATGTGACATTTTTATGATAGATTCTTACTGTAGCAAATTAAAATTAAAAACTCGAATCGGAGAACTGAACGAGACCTTAATTGTTGTATAAATTTTTTAATAGTTTAATTTGTGAGTAGGTAAATTTTAATGTGGCCACTCATAGATGAAATCGTTAAAAATCTAATCTAACAATTGAAACAAAAGTTTCTACCTATAGCATAAAACGACAATTCTCACCATAACATATACTTAAAAATAAAACATGATCATAAATTACCATTTTTCCTTTTTAGGAAAACCCTATTGTTTTATAAAGTTACCATCGTGTTACCCCATACTTATAGTGCCTTAGATTTTTTTTTTCTTTTGTTATTAGCTCTAAGATTGTGTCACTTTGGTTAAATATTCTTTGATCGTTGCTTTTTTAATAGTTTTAGTCCCTCGCATTTTAACGAATGATTTCTAAAGTTTCTCAAAGATAATCACGTTGTAGTAACTGATTTTTTTTACGAAAATAGCTTCTAGCGCTGTGTCCTATCTGCTCAAGGAAAGCTGTTGAGCTCAATGTGTAAGTGTAACGCATCAACGACATTTGGTATATAATCTGCATCTTTTGTCAGAATTGCTACTATAAGACAGAAAAGAGTTTATGTTTGGTAGTGATTTTTACCGTTTAAAATTAATTTTCTAGTTATTTACGGTTAAAATTTATATTTAGTAAAAATTATAAAAAATGATTCTTAAAAATATTTTGAAAAATTTACGGTTAAAATAAAAAACAATCTAATAACAACTTTAGTTTTTAAATTATGCGGCAACTATCTTGAAATACAATTAATGAAACTTTTATAATATTCCTAATATTTTTAGAATCAATACTTATATAATTACAGTTTACTAAATACTTAACTATTTTTTATAATATATGTTTTTTTTTCTCAACACAACTAACAATTATTTTTTTTAAAATCTACAGTATTACAAAACTGGTTATGCACCGAGTGCTTCCTGGAGTGAAGTCCTAAGGGTGGTCCTGCTTTGAGGTAGTCTGGGATTGTCTTACCAATAAAACGTCATATTTTATCCTTGAAATTTTGTCTAAGCTGTGGGTCGGGCACAGAACAACAAGGGAGATTTATTACTCCTCTACCCCAGTGTCTGTTGAAATCCCTTATGAGACTCTTCTTTAACCCGACCTGAAAAGGAAGAGTTTGATTTCACGCTTTCACTTCTTAAACTAGTTTAAGCGGTATTCATCTTAACAAGACTATTGTTATCTCCAGTAAAACAACAATAAAGAGAGTATTTACATTTACTGTGCTTATTAATGTAAAAATTTAAATTATTAAAGCAACTGAGATATGAATCTGTGAAATTTTAAAAATTATTGTCAATTTTAATATTAGGGACCTAGAAAGTATATATATATATATATATATATATATATATATAAAACACGGTTCCTCAACTAATTTAACAAAATTAATAAGGGCATATTGAAAAAGAAACTTTGTAATGTTGGTATTCAATGTATATATACTTCATCATAAGTTATACATATTTCATCTAGATTTTCAATAATCGGGCACTTGGGCGGCTAATAATAAAAAGGCATTAACCCACCCAACCCCACTCTATACAGACCCATGGAGGTCATAATTCTAACAAGGATGAGGACTAGGACGCATGTTTTCTAATATTATCTGCGTGTTTCTTATGGATTGGGAAATCCACTTCACATTCCACCAATCACATAAGCCATCCGTATACGTCTAAAAAGAGACCACAAAAGAAAAAGGTAGAAAAGGCCAAAATATTTTTGGCATAGGATGGGACAGCCTGATTATCACGGCCGTTCATTTCGTTAATTCGAATTTAGAATTCGAGTTTTGTTACAGTAAAAAACTCTCATAAATAATCACATCTAATTTTTTTGCTACAATAACAAATTCTCACATAAAATCACATCTCAATTCGAATTAAAAATTCGAATCAGCAAACTAAACGGGTCCCACACTCACATTTGGGAGTGAGTCGTGACTAGTGAGGCCAAGCTGTAGAGTGAAAGTATTGCACGTCAAAGTTCAAGCTTAAAATATCCCTCATGACCTGCATTATTTTTTCTTTTTTCTGTTTTTTTTCCCCCTGTTTTGGTAGTTTGTTGTAATTCATGGGGATGAAACTTTAGACGACCAACGACATACAAAAAAGTGACGATACAGTGGGGAAATACGACAAAAATATGGTCCACAATGTGATTTAATTTTGTGGAAGACGCTTTCATCTGTTTGGCCTCTTCTATAATAATTTATTTCTTGCACGTTCTCTTCCTGCGCAACAATATTTCAAAGGCTTTGCCCATTTTATTCTATGACTGATTCCACCGTGGAAAAAAAGAAACACCTCTTAAAATATATGAATTTTGAATTTTTATCTTGATAAAATTCACTCCGGACACTAGCCTAGAAAAATTCCTCACAAGACACTGTTTCTTTTTAGGTTTTTTTCTTAGTTAAAATAATTGGGATTCAGTGGAATATTGAAAAAAAAAAAAAAAAAAAACCTCAATTAGTTTTTGGGATTCAGTGGAATATTGAAAAATAAAAAAAAAAACCTCAATTAGTTTTTCCTAATGTCTAGGATATACAAATAATAAACTGTACCTACAAATAATTTTTTGTTGTAATTAGAATTTAAAACAAATAACCTCAATTAGTTTAATTAGAATTTAAAAACCTCAATTAGTTTAATTAGAATTTAAAAACCAAAATTAGTTTTAATTAGAATTTAAAACTGTACCTACAAATAATTTTTTCCCCCTAATAGAGAGGTAATATTTATGGTAAGATCACGTTGTTTTAATCGTTTGATTAATTTTTCAATAGTTAAATTTATAATCGAAAATAATTTTATATCACATGTCTTAAATTTTTAATATAAACTTTTACATATCTAACTATTTAAAAAATTAATTTAAGAATTAACGTTGCCTTACTTACTCATAGTGTAAAAAAGCCAGTCATACGATTCTACCATAAAAATTGCTCTTTTCCTCTTTAATAAGTTTTTCTTTTATTTTTCTTTTTCTGTCGTTGAAAACTTGAAACGTAATGGGATCTTTTCTCACATCAGCTACTTGGCTCTTTTTCAATAGAGGGATGCCAAATCAGACAAAATATGATCAGACAAAATCAAATAAACCAGAGCCTAGTCTTTTCCCTATGAATTGCCATTCTTTAACAAGAGTGAAGAAGACATTTTGTAGTGCGTCAGAGTTCGAGAATATGCTGATAATCAATTGATAATCAATCAAAACACAGCCACAACTCTGCTAAACTTCCTGTCGTATAAGATTGAAGATACTAATTACAATCATAAATTTGTTGAATGACAGAGGAAAAAAATATAGATTTAATCTGGACGCTAGCTTTGGACCTACATATATATGATTGCTGACTAGTCATTACAAAAAGGGACACGTATACGCAACTTGCATGCATAAACTTCGCAGTATTTGTTTGGTTGGTTCAAATTTTATTGATTTAAATTTTTTTATTTAAATAAAAAAATTTAAATTGTATAATTTAAATTGACGTTTAGATGTATAGTTAAAAATTAATATGAATAGAAAATAAAATTTGAATTAGTATTTTATAAATGTAAAAAATAGAGAGAGTGAACATATTTTTATTGTTAAAAATAATTTAAATATTAAAATTAAAGAGAAAATTAAATTTTAAATTAGATAGTTTAACTCAATTTAAAATGAAGAATATAATTAGACTGAACTGATAAACTGAACTATGAAACTGGGTGTTAGTAGATTCCAAATACATGCATATTATCTTGATTTAACATCTAACATCTCAAACCTCACAAAATGTACAAAATTCTAACATCTCCATAATGCATTCAATTATTTCGGTCCAACAAGTGCTGATTCCATCGACCTCTCTATTTTCCTTCTCTTCCAGTACAACTTTCCCAAAGGCAAAACTCGAAAGAAAACTCTTATTTCCAGCTTCTTGTTCTCTCGAACCAATCTCATCAACAACTTCACCTAGTACTAGTATTACTAGTGATACCGCCATGGCCACAAGCCCAGCTGAAGAAGTAGCCCAAGATTTCTCTCCCTTTCTTAAAATCTACAAAGACGGTCATATCGAGAGGCTCGTCGGCGTCGACGTCGTCCCTCCGTCGCTTGACCCCGAAACCGGTGTCGAATCCAAAGATGTCGTGATCTCGCCCGACGTCTCCGCGAGGCTTTTCGTCCCCAAGCATGCCGGCGCCGGCGACCAGAAGCTCCCTCTCGTTTTGTACTTCCACGGCGGTGGATTCTGCGTCGAGACGCCGTTCTGCGCCAAGTACCACAACGCCGTCAAAACCATAGTCGCCGAGTCAAGCGTCGTCGCCGTCTCCGTCCACTACCGGTTAGCCCCGGAGAACCCCATCCCTATTCCGTACGACGACTCATGGGCCGCCTTCAAGTGGGCCGCGTCCCATTCCGAGGGAACCGGCCCAGACGAGTGGCTGAACGCACGCGCCGACTTCCGGCGCGTGTTCCTCGCGGGGGACAGCGCGGGTGCTAACATCGCGCACAACGTGGCGCTGCGGGCGGGTGTTTCGAGATCTCCGGCGGGGGTGAACCTCGCAGGGATTGTGTTGATACATCCCTACTTTTGGGGGGTGGAGCCAATTGGAAATGAGCCGAAGGAGGCAGAGAAGCGGGCGATGGCGGAGGGGATATGGCGGTTTTCTTACCCGGCGACGGAGAACGGGTCGGATGACCCGTGGATGAACCCGGCGAAGGATCTGAATTTTGGGAGGCTGGGGTGTGGGAGGGTTTTGGTTTTTGTGGCGGAGAAGGATGGGTTGAGGGATAGAGGGTGGTACTACAAAGAGTTGTTGGAGAAGAGTGAGTGGGGTGGGACCGTTGAGGTGGTGGAGGCCAAAGGGGATGACCATGTTTTCCATTTGAGCAATCCCACTTGTGACAATGCCGTGTCTTTGGTCAAGAAGATTGCTTCCTTTGTCAATGAGGAGAAATAGTCCTCAAGTGAGTGGGGAATTTAATTTAATATAATTTTTTCTCCATTCTTAAGCAGTGTTTGTTATTATCTATTTTGTTTAGGAAATTATGCATAAAATAAAATGGGATACCATAGAACTTTGTTTGAGAGTGTGGTCATGTTGGTGTATGGTAGTGATTAGTTGCGTATTCCAAATGTGAAGCGAAATTGATGATCAAGCATGTTATGATTGTTGATCGTATGTTGGGGCAGTTCAGCTCTGAAATTTGATTTGAAAGGTGGTGACCTCCATTATTTTTCGTCAATTTAAGCGACAAATGTTGAGTACACCTTTGATCAACGACAAGAAATATCTCATCGTCCTAGCTCCGCGGCACACACGAAATAATGATGTGGTGAAAGAAATGATATCATCATCTAATCATCACTCATTAACATTTGAGTAATCGGCACCATTAGTTCACAATCTGTGACAACTTGGATTCCGTTTTTAATTTAGGAAACAACTTTAAAACAACTTTCAAACTCTTAAAACGTTCCCTCAGTTTTTGACTGTTTTATGTATGTGGCCTACAAGCGTTCTTTTTCGCATTGAAAAGATTAATGAGATTTTGGAATAAAAAATTAAAATAAAGAGAGATTTTCTATTTCGATCTCGGTGCGGGTTTAAAAGGCTTAACATAGTCTTTACTACACTTGATTATATCTTTACTTGTTGAAAAAAGAAAAACTTTTTTTTTTTTTTTTGAATTTCTCCAAGTCTTCCGTAAACATTCAAACCAAACCTAAAATTTCACAAAAAAAGAAATGAAAGAACACAAAACTCATGAACTGATTTCGCGGCGTTCTTAGATTTGGAGGGCTCTCAATAAGCATCTTGGCAGCAGGCTGGAGGATCTCCATGTGGTTAAGGATGGTGGCGCCGTCGGAGGTGATGATAACCTCACCATCGATGGCGAAGATCATCTTGTCCATTTACTTGGGTAGTCGGAACGGCGGGGCGGCGGCGATGTTGGCGTGGCGGATGACCTTTTTGCGCTTGTTGTCGACGTAGGACTCAGTCTTGGAGGAGGATCGGCCTACCCATCGTGGTGCCATGCCGCCATGGATGAGGAGCGAGAAAACTCAATAATTTCAGAGAGAGAGAGAGAGAGAGAGAGGTGTGAAAAAGTGTGGTTGTACGAGATAGATTGAAGAAAGAGGGTTTCAGAAATGAGCTTTAGGAACCGGGAGTAGTTTGGTGCTTTGATCTTATTTTTTTCAAATATGAGCTCATGTCCTCATTATTCGTCGGATTTTAATCGAACGAATCATATCATTCACCCTACCGGTAGGGGGAAATTACATCCCCTATGGCCATAGACTTTCCCTAAAATAAGAAGCAAAACCTAACTAGAAAAAAGAAAAGTCTCTCTTTGGATCACTGAAAATCCTTTCTATAGCTCTAATACTGTATTATTCTTAGAAATTACGGGCATGTTCTTTTTCTAAAAAACTTAAAAAAAAGTAACTCAAAATTTCAACTTTATTTAAATTCACGTTCTTTTAAGTTTTAACTTTATTCAATTTTATTCAAGTTCTAACTTCAACTCAAGTTATAACTCAAATTCAACTTAAAAATTACACTCAAGTTACACTCCAAAAGAACAACCCCTATATTATCTTTTATCACTTTTTTAAAAATGTGATTTTTACTAATTACTACGTACCAAACACCCTCTAAAAGAAATCGGGGCCGCTCCCTCATTAGCGCCCCTTCTATACAGCAAGACGAAATATGAAATGGAATCCTAAAAAATGCCAAACATTGACATTATCGATAACTTCCCATAATTTATATAACAAGGGATATTATCGATAACTAATGTAACTTTACATAGCGATTTCTTAATATGCATGATTACCACTTTAAAGTTCTACATGTAGATCTTTTCTTAATACAACTAGCACTGCATCGTCCTCACGATTGTTGGATTATTATTAAATTGAAAATGTTGTTTTAAATATATATTATCCAAGTTCCGACGAAAGATTCCCCTTTCAGTGTGCACATAGAGAATGAAGGGAGTTATTTTATGTGTTTTAATTAAAAATATATAAGGGTCTCGTTTTCTATAAACGTGTTGCAGCTCTCAAAAATTTTGTAGACGTGGAGTGTGCCATGTGATTCGTAGTTAAGTCGCAATAGCAATTACACTGTGAAGCAAAAAGATAGATGAACGAGTGAGAAAACACATCTACTGTCATTCCCCATTTACACAAAAAAAGAAAAAAAAAAAAAAAGGTAAATTAAAAGCCTTGTACTTCGAGTAGGACAATAATAAAAGCAAAAACAGAGTGACCACTGACTATAAAGGTGCGGTTCATAATTTAAAATTATTCTTAATTTATATATATATATATTTTAAAAATATTATAATAAATTATAAATTATAATATGAATTATAAATCATGATACAGATTTTACTCTAAACGCACCTTTAAGTTTTTGGCTAAATAAAAGCTCTAAACTTTATGATCCTTGTCTCACACATCTTGCTTGTTGAAGAAACCACATATTGTGCTCATCAACTCCGCAGCCTTATCTGAACCCGGATTCATCAAATGGAAAACATGCTCCTCCCCTTTGGTCTCCACCACCTCCACAGCCCCACCCCACCC